CCCATGAGGTGAAGAAGAGAGCATATGGAGCAACTGCTGCAATTTTTTATATCAGGCATCTCAAGGATTGCACCACCTAAAATCAGTTTTACTGAACTCATTTATTATTTCACGATTACTCTCACATATGTTCAGTTGATCAATGCTCATAATTTTATATTCTAAAATAAATAAAAATGCCATGCTCAATTGCTTTATGTACAGTGGTTCTTTATTTTGACTCATGGAAGGGGAAACCAAATGATTGGCAGCCTAAATCAATTGTAGCCCGTCATGCAGTAGCAGTCAACACCAACCTACAGCCAAATGAAGGTAATAAATTCAACTTTTCTGGTTAATGAAATTATGCAAGGACGTGTTTGCGCTTTGCTTAAATTTAAAGCATGTTTTTAAGTGGTTAATGTCGATCTGACGACTTCCAGGTCTTCAAGTGAAATACCATGGTATTAAAGAGCCAGACTCCATACAGGTTACTACTCTTGTATCTTTATTTTCAGCTCGGGGGATGAAACCGAGCTTTGTTTTGACCTCAAAATACACTTGATTAGGTTTTCAGCTACTTGGATTTGTGTTTTTTCAAGGTAAGCCTAAACCAAGTATGATTCCTTTTCTTATGATCAGTTTTATTTGGATTTAATCTGTGATATGAAACACACTTTTTTTGTATGTATATATTGTTAGAATGATCTCTGAAGCCTTGTATTTGTTTTTAGATAATTTCAGGATGAATATGTATTATGTATTTATTCTATACGAACTGACCATTACATATCTATTCCTTACAATTATTTGGATTCTGACTCCACATATTACGATGTCCCTAACAACTACTACATCCATAGTGCCGAGTTAATTAGTTTGGGGAGTTCCTGGGTTCATTTTCCGAACGGGAAGTTTGAAAAAAAGTGTTTTCCTTATTAATAATGTCACTTGCTCCACTTATTTAAAAAAAAACTCCTGCTCCCCCTAAAGTACTGAAATGTTTTTTCTGAATTGGAGTTATGCTTGCTTACTGATGTTATGCTCTCTGAACTTTGTAAGTTTACTAATGTTTTGTTTGTTGCATAGTAGAGACATAAGAAACTGTAGTGATTGTTCTTTTCAACATGATTTTTTTTTTGTGCTCCTGGGGGTGCAGAATTTGAAACTCTGACTCTTGGGTCTCTGCCACCAACTCTGCAAGGTTTGCAGAATGATTAATCATTTTCTAAATTGATTTTCTTCTAACTGAAGTCTGGAAATAAAAATGAACAAGAAATCTTACTGTATTTATTAAAGTCCTCGGTACATATTGAATGATGATAACCTATTTCTATTACCACAGTACATTTTTATTTTTCCTGTGGCATATGTTTATTACATAGGAAGTTTAGGCATTCAGTTTTCTCTTGTATTATAAGTTTAGTTCAATCTCTAAATACTTATGGTTCCCTTCCTTTCCAGGTATGAAGGTTTATCCTAATGATGAAAAAAAGTTAATCTTGGAGCCATCATTCAAATGGGCAGGGAATCCTAATATTACTTTACTTGTTAAAGCGTTTGGATTGAAAGCAACTGTCCAGGTTTTGCAATCGTCATGAATACGAGTTCTTGATTTTTTGCTAAGTCTTGATAAACAACTAACCGATTGCTGGATTTTTCAGCTTGTAGAGTTTTAGATCTTTGCAGCACCACGCATTACCCTGAAACCTTTGGTCTCAAGCTTGTAGATTTTTCATCCCTTTATACACACAGAGTCTTTAAGGTAGTTATTTTGGTACTATTAACCGTTACTACAGCCTAAGTATTTCATGCCATTTGTTACTCTCCCTCTGGAAATGAGTGACAAATGCTTTTTTCATTTCATTTCCATTTCTTTAATCCTTCAAATTCGTGTTTCTGATTAATTTGATTTTTGTTTCATTATTATAATTGGCCTAAGAATTTTGAATTTCTCAGCCATCGCTGGCACTTTTTCACAGCAATTGATGGGTTATGTAGTCACAGTCTTAGGCGTTCAGCAGGGCTTGCTCAAGTTTATGCTGAATAGAGTATCATCTCAGTCAATAACGACGCAAGTCAAACCAGCACTTCTCTTTCTTTTTTCTTTCAGTTATATAAAATATCATTTATTAATGTGTGGCTCCACCTCATGTTTATGTTTCTAATTAAGAATCTATATAATGTTTCCTTCTTCTCAAATGAATATGCATGATTTTGATTCCCAATAAACTATGTTGTGTCTTTGTGCCAAACTATTCCCAAGTTTATTCAAAATGTATATGTTTTGTTTAAGGGCCAAACTGTGAGGAACTATAGCCTCTTATAGTCTTATTGCTCACTCTCTTTTAAATATTAGTGAATGTGTCATTGGGTCGCCTTGTATTTTTTCACTATTGCAGCGACTACTTTTGGAGTTTGTTTTTTATATTTTGCAATAGGTGTTTTAAAGTTGTTGGTTACTTTGAACTCATATTCATGTTATTAAAAAACTAGCTTTATTTCTGAAAATACATTATATGGTCCTGTACTTTATTCTTCATGAAATACTCTTTACTTCTCAAAATATTATGTCTTCCATCACTCTTAAGTAACACACTTCTTTTTTATGAACAAAGAAAGGAGAGAAGCAACAAAATGCTCATATGCTTGATGCAGGTAACCTTTTTTCTATATGAAAATCATGTGATAGATCATGAAGGATTCCCACTTGTGAAAAAGAAAAGAAAATAAAAAAATGGTATGTTTTTGGATGTTCCCTTTCTTTAGTAGGTTTTTTTGTACTTCCCTTCCACAGGGATTTGTTTTGGAAAGTTAGGTTATGACTTAAGATTTCTGTCTTCTCATCAGGTAGTTTCTCAACAGAGAGTTGTTGCGGCAATTGCAGAAGGGAAGTTCAAAGATAAAATCATCTCTGTTTCTACAAAGGTTTGATAGTATATTATAATATGGAATATATACTCGGCTATGATATGTGAAGCTTTCTAATAATTAAATCTGTTATATGGGGGAAACAGATAGTCGACCCTGTATCTGAAATAGAGAAGTCGGTGGTGATATCTTTCAATGAAAGCTTCGTCGAAAGGCAAACATGGGGTCTTGGCTAAATTAAAGCATGTTTTCGACAAGCATGGATCCAAAATGCAGATAATGATGTAATCCCATTTAAAATCATCTACTAAACCCCAGTTAGTTCTTGTCTGTACTACAACACATTGTGTGTTGTCCTGACTTTGCCCCATTCTAGGCAATGCTAACCAGGTTTGTGATGGAGGTTTGTGATGGTGCAGGAGCAATTCTTATGGAAAGAAGTATAGCTCTTCAAAAGGGGCTCCCAGTCCTTGGTGCATTCAAGTTATTATTATCTCTTGAATGTGTTTTTGAAATAATGATACATGAATAACATTAGAGCCACACTTGCAAAGCTGTTTTTAAAGGTTGATCTAATCACAACACCTTATTCTTATCATTTTGAACCTTTTCCTTTTCCTCAATTAAGGTAGCATAAATATTATTTAATTTAGTTTACGAACTGTTGAGATTGATTACCTCAGCCCAAAAGTCCAACACAATACTTTTGCAAAATTTCGTTTTCTAGATTTCCAATGGGCGATGATATCTTTAAAGTAACCAATCACTCTTTATGTCGGTTTTCTTTTATTTTGTATCTTTAAATTTCCATTGATGTTTTTTGAGTATAAATTCTCTGTCTTATAATTCCACAGATGAAGTTTAATATTGTTTTCAATATTTAGTTTCATCATTTAAAGAACTGTTTTTTATTTTTGTTTTGCTTATTCATGTCTGTTTTGTGCTACATCTTTCTCACATTGATTTTGTTGAACACTTTGTGCTTTTCACATCGACCATTTCCCCGTGGTAGGCATGTATAATCAATGAATACGAAATTAAAGAGATGCACAAATGAGAGTAGGTTGGATGTGGCTGAGAAGGAAAGTGTCCAGAATTTTGCTGCCGCTCTCAAAGCTCTTAATCTCTAGCACTCCCTGAACTCCCTTACAAACTAAACTCTTTGGCTTGTTCAAATTAAACTCCTATTCAATACTGGGTTGCTCTCCTTCTATCTAGGTTGACACTTACTATTTTGGTTCACTTGCTGTGTAATGCACATAGACCTACCTTACTTTTTGTTCCTTGCTTTTGCTAACTGTTTTGCCCCTCATTGGGCATGAATCCCGCACAACGTGCGGGCCGTCGCTAGTATTAAAAGAAGAGTGTAAAATCACGAGAATGTAGGATGTTAAAAGCATATAATAGAGTTTTGGGGTGCAAGATTAGCAATTTAGCACCATGAGATACTATGTATTTAAAAGAAGAAATTGAGCGAAGTTTGATGGAAAGTGATATTAGAAAGCGATTTTTTCAATTATTTAAAATTCAATACAAAAAAGGGATATTTAAATTACGGAGTATAGAACAACTAAATACAAAAATGAATCACAAGAACAATATACAATAGTTGGTATATAAAACAACTCAAATATAGTGTATCATGATAAGCCTCTGGGAAAACGTTTATATGGCCATCATCAAAGAAGTATTTGCACAACTAATTAAGAAAACAATAATACGAATGACTATGAATGTGCATGTTGCAATGTTCTAAAAGGTGCTAGTAGCTAATTGGTATCAAGCCTATCGCCTACGCAAGAAGCCAAGAACTAGTCGGAGACATAGAAATTGTACTACAACAACAACATTCAAGCCTTACTCCCAAAAGATTTTGGAGACACAGAAATTATATTTTTGTAAATATCTTTGTGACATGTAATATTGTGTGTGTGTATATACACACATTAACATGCATGAATGATAAAATATTCACATTTAATAATATAATATAATTAATCACTTAACTTAATTATGTAATATATTAAATAATAATAATAATAATTAAGACTATACAAACACATATAGTTTATATCTTAACCTACAAGTAGTTTATGTATATGCATGGTTGTTTTGGGTGATATTGACATCCTTATGGATTTAAGTCTTTGGGCCAATGCTTCTTTGAGGATGGCCATATAAAATTTTTCCAAAAGGCTCATCATGAACACACAATATTTGAGTTGTTTTATATACTTCATGTGACTAAGTTACTAAGTTACTAACTATTGTATATTGTTCATGTGACTCATTTTTGTATTTAGTTGTTCTATATTTTAATATCCTTTTTGTATTGAATTCTAAATAATTGAAAAAAAATCGCTAACTAATACTTCCTCCGTCCCATAGAGAGGTTCCCGTTACGGTTTACGATGCTTGACTGACGATAAAGTAACTTAATCCCTATTCACACTGATTATTTTTAGTAAATAAAATTTACATATACATAAACTACATTAAAACTGCTACAAAGCCTGATTAAAAAAATGTAACTATGATTTAAAAAATTGATATATAAAGCAAAAAAAATAAGAATGATTTAAGTTGACCATGTGAATAGTGGACGGGAACCTTTGAATGGGATGGAGGTAGTATCACTTTCCATCGAACTTCGCTCAATTTCTTCTTTTAAATATGTAGTGTTTAATAGTGCTAAATTGCTAATATTGCACCCCAAAACTCTATTATATATTTTTAACATCCTACATTCTCGTGCTTTCACACTCTTCTTTCTATATTTTAAACTTAGCATGCATCTCTTTCTTGGACGTATAAGTCATCAACTAACATGATAGTATCTGCAATTAGGTGAGCCATTATCTATTACGTAGTACTCCCTCCGTCCCTTATAACTTTGTCAACTTTCCATTTTTGGATGTCTCAATAACTTTGCCACTTTCCCATTTAAGTAAAGAATTTGTGGTTCCAGTTAATTCTCTCTCCTCTGCACAAAACTCAACCACACAGTTTTTACTTTATTAATTCCCGTGCCGGTCAAACTTGGCAAAGTTATTAGGGACGAGGGAGTATCTCCTAACCATTACAAGTCAGTCACAGAGAATTATCCTTATTACTAAATCGTATTTGCACACCTTTATTATAATCTCTTCAAGCTCAGCGAAACTATCTTCTGTAGACAAATCATCCAGAGGCTCGTTGCTTTCAGGTTCCCCGTAAAGTTTAATTTCATGAACCGCTACACCTTTCTCAAGCAGTGCCTGCCCAAAGACTTAAAATCCATAAGGATGTCAATATCACCTACAACACCAAAGAATTGCAAAGGTACCTTAAGAAGTCCAGGAGCGTCTTCCTCCATTGCTAATTCAACTGAATCTCTGAAAGGTTGCGAGAAAGAAAACATGGGATTAAACCTCAAAGCTTTCACCCTCATAGTCAGGGAAAATGAAAAGAAATAAAATTCTAATAGATACACATGAAATCAATTCATTACAGCATATCAATAAATCTTACGTGGCAGTCTTTCTCCGCTTTCGTGAAATTTGAATTTTCATTGGTTTGGCAGTTGCAGATGAAATGGGTGTGGGTTCAACCATAGGGGGTACAGTTTTTATCAAAGAAACTGCTATCCCATCACCTCCAGATGAACAAATTGCATTTGCATTTCGTGAAAATAGATGCAACCGTTCTCGCAGAGACATGTGATCGAGTTCATCTATGCAATCATAAGGGACTTCTTCTCTCTTAACTGGAAGGGAAAAATTATATAGTGGATTGTCTTTAGCATGTTTTCCTCTGGTACCTAACTCGATGCTCTCCAAGGGTTCGACCTTCACCTCAACAATATCTGCACAAAGGCTATCAGAAGGAAGATCTAATTCATGACTTGATTCATGCTCAGAAAGAACTTTCTTTAAAGAGCCTAACAAATCATTTCCTTGCACGCTGTCCGGTATTGCATGATTAATCATAGGGGGCACTATTTTGATCAAAGAAGCTGATATTGCATCACCTCCAGATGAACAAATTGCATTTACATTTCCTGAAAATAACTTCAACCGTTCTCGCAGCGACTTGTGATCAAGTTCATCTATGCTAGAATCATAAGGGATTTCATCTCCCTTAATTGGAAGGGGGGGAATATAAAGTGGATTGTCTGTAGCATGTTTTCCTCTGGTATCTAACTCGGTGCTATTTAGGGGTTCGACCTTCACATCAACAATATCTGTACCAAGGCTATCAGAAGGAAGATCTAATTCATGACTTGATTCATGCTCAGAAAGATTTTTTTTTAATAATAAATCATTTCCTTGATCAGAAAGAACTTTCTTTAAAGAGCATAAGAAACCATTTCCTTGAACCCTCTGTGATGTTGCTTGGTTGAGTGAATATTCGTTTGGGCAGGAATCAGTCAATCCATGATCTCTAAAATTCAACAAATCATACGTCTTAGAATGACCTCCAGCCATCTGAAAGTCCCTATCACGGGGTTCATCATTTCCCTTTCTTACTCCAGTACCTTCATTGATCAAGTCATCTTCAGAAAAGCTAGAAGTTTCTAGTGAGTTATCCTGCATTAAACAACAAGAACACTTATTCAGCAATCTTGAAAATAAAGAGAAAAAAAATGCATAGAAACACTAACAGGAATCCATGTAAAACTGTAAAAGACAATATTCCATGGCAGTTCTTTCTTAATGTAATAGTGAACATTACATAGAACATACATGGATGCGAATAAGAAGTAAATGGCAATTGACCAAACAACTCCCATATTTACAAAATAATTTCCCTAAATGCAATTGATCGACGTCAAGAGTTGACAGAAATGAAAGAGTAAACAATGCCATATTTGGTGATGCCACTGGCAACCTGTGGTCATGTAACCACTGCTCTCCCTCAAGCTAAGGATGACTACTCAGGTGAGGACTGTAAAAGGGCAACCCGGTGCACGAAGGCATCCTGAAGGCGAGGCCACGAGGGTCTAGGGAATTGTACCACTACAAGGGTGTATAAGGGGCAAACCTTCCCCTGCCAAATTTTGACAAGCGACCGCTCCCAAGACTTGAACCCTTGACCTCTCAGTCACACAGCAACGCCTTAACCGGTGCACCAAGGCTTCCCTAACATATAAGTTATATATTCGATTTAAAACAAGAAATGTGCACTTGCAAAGCATTAGCAATAAAAAAAATAGTCATAATCGCGCTTTAAAAATAACTTTTGAAAGGAAAAAATGACTTCTAGGAGGGCATAGAAATGTCCTTACAAGATAGTATTAAAGGGAAAAGGATTGAGAAGAATATTATTCACCAACGGTTTACAGAATCCTATCTTGTTGCATGACTCTTGCAACAAGTGGAAAAATATTTGGAAGAGGATTTGCAAATGACAAACTATAGACATAAGAGATAAAGTACCTCCATAGTTTTCCTTTCGAAAGATGGTGCTCTCCTGGAAATTATGATTATAAAAAGACAGTTAAAGATATGATACTAATATAATTTATTGTATAGAAGAACCAGAGCTACTACAGATTTTATCTAACAATTTGAAAACCTAAAAATAGTGGAGGAAAATGGCACCTAGATAGCAGCATTCTTTGTCGCTCTTTTAGTACAACAAGATCCAGATCATCCAAAAAGTCACTAGGAATCTCATTCTTCTCTGGTGTCTCCATATCAGCACCAGATGAAAAATTTATGCATTTTTTCCATAAATTGGCATCAGAAACCTTTGTTATAACGGCAAGGTGTGATGGAGACATCTGTTGAAGTGAGTTGGCTGCATCAACTTTTCCTGATATAATATTATTATCAGCAATCAACTGGCACATGCTCTCATTTCCTTCGCCTAGTATCCAATATAGTTAGGCATTAGGATGATAAATTACACACAAGGACAAATCAGAAAAGAAAATAATACTCTCTAGGATTTATTAACTGATAGCTTGTACTGTTCATACACATGATTGTCATAAAGCATTGCATTAGAACTTTTACCAGTATCATTTTGCTGAACTTTCAAACAGCCAACCTTCTCCTCCTGAATAATTTAAATAGTACAGAACATCATTTGATGAGTAAGCCACCAATAAAATATAGCAGATAAAGGAACCACAAATACATGAGTGAGTCTAGGCATAAGGCAATATTAGTGTTTTACTCAACTGTTCAGTAGTACTCAAAACCAACAAAATAGATTTACAACATTCCACGAGTAGAAATTACAATGATACGGAGAAATATTAATAGTGATAATAATGATGATAAAACAATAAAAGTAATATAGTTTGGTAAATGGTAAATGCAACATCTAGTAAGAAACTTTCATTAGAGGCAATTAAAGAGATCAACAAAAATTGAAAACAAAACAGGAAAAAAAAAAGATACAGCGCCAAATATAGGTCAGTTCATGTAATAAACATGAAACTTGATACATGTTAATAATAATCAGGATGTTTTCAAATAATAATAATAAAAATGGCGCTTTCAAATACTAGGATGACAATGACAACAATAGGACAACCAAGCCATACTAACAATCAGAAAGTTGAATTGAAGATACTACAATACCTGTGAGTAGAAATGGTTGATGTAGCTTCGAGCATAAATATTATGCGGGGGCCTGCATACATCAAACTCCAAAAAGAATTAAACTTCTATTAAAAGATCAGGGTTTTGAAATGAAGTTGGAGCCTTTCTTCAGGCAAGTAATAGAGCGAACTTCCAAAATACTAAAATTGAAATCATCTTAGTTTTGCAAAGAAATGTAATATAAAAAATGCAGCGAAAACAAAAAATGAATAAACTCACTCGGAAACTGCAGCAATTTCTGTTTCGGATTTGAGTGTCCGACTGCTAGCCAAAAGCAATTTCAGACGTTGTTTCAACGGAACGCCTTCTTGTTGCTCCGGCCACAACGCGTCCAAGGATTCGTCCTCCGATTTGATTGGTGCGTCAGATGGAGCCGAAAATTGACCCATTTCTCGGCCTTGCTTCTTCAAACTACCATTGACGGGCACGGCATCCTGTCCAGCTAGAAAGAAAACGAAAACAGACAAAGTTCATAAGCTCTGGTGGAACAGGGGAAATGGAAGATGGAAACGAAGAGGTTTTAAGGGTTCGGCAGAATGCAGGCTTACTTGAAGCGGTGCTGCTTTGAGTGGACGAGCTCGACCACGTTCATAGAAGAAAACGGAATATAAAGCGTCTGGTTACTAGCGTTCTCACGCTGCTTGGCGCGAAAATTTAGGAACACGACGAGAGGTGGGTGGGCCTGGGGGTGGGCCTGGGGTGAACAATGTTCGTTTCGTGTAGGGCTGGATCTGAAAAATCGAAAAACCGAAAAACCGAAAAACCGAATCAAATTAAATCGAACCGCAACCAAATAAAACCGAACCGCTAAAAAACCGAAATCGAATGTAAAAAACCAAACTGAACCGAGCCGAACCGAACTGAACAAAATGAACTATTTAAAATATGAAATTTATAATTTAATTGTTAAGCATTAATTCTAATTAATCTTAATATCATCAATAGTCTTTTGTTTTCTTGTGTTAGGAAAAATAATGTTTGTGTTATGTTTAATTTAATTTAGTTTATAAATTCATTTACACATTCATTGTCTGTAATAATGTAGCTATATTGAATGATAATAATATGTGTTTACTAGTTATTAGTGGTAATTAACTTTTTTAGATAACTTACAGATTTTATATTGATAAAACAATAAATATTCATCTCAACTATATCACATAGAAGTATAGAATGTATATATTCATGAACTTTTTTCGAACTACTCACAAACAAATTAAATCTATAATATACGTAGTATACAGTTTTATCTATCTCGCATACTCATATAATTCAAGACATATTTATCTCTTCTCATTTTTATTTTATTTGTCGTTGTATTGTGCTTGCATTCTTTATGTAATATGTTTGATCCCTCTAAGTATTATATCAATTTTGAATCAAGTGATAATTTTTTGGTAAAAAACCGAAAAAACCGAACCGAAACAACCCGAACCAATCAAACCGTGGTTCCAAGTTTTGGAGTGTAAAACCGAACCGAAACCGAACCGAACTTTTTACTTTGATTCTATATTTGGTTTTAGGTCAAAACCGAACTGCAAGAACCGAACCCACCCCTAGTTTTGTGAATTCGAAGCTTCTCCTCAATGCTAGGCTTGAAATTATCAAATTAAACTGGTAGGCGTAGAGCTCAACTGGTAGTGAGAGAGTAGGGTTAGGTTCCGGGTTCAATTTTGGGCAACTGTGATGAGAGATTACTCAACGTAGGGTCACTCCAAGTAACGGAGACAGAGTCTCACTCTCTATCTGTCAGATTGGTATTACAGTCCAATTTACATCCTTTCATCGTACCGACCAGTCGGTGTTGGGGGCCTAGGGATGGAGTGTCATTCTTTTGAAATTATCAAATTACGGGTCGAAAATATTATACACACAGTATCATTACTTCCAAATTGTGAATAGAGAAATAATTTGATAGTATTGAGCACACAATTGAGCATACAAACTTGTTAAACCCGATAGATAAAGATTTTTAGTAGATTACCAACATCTTATAAGGTCAAATATTTACTCTATTCTCGTTCCACTATCACGTCATCATTAACTCATTATCACGTCACTGTCACATCATCTAGTTGTTTTTGTTTTTATTTATTTATGTGTTGTTTTTCCTATTCAAATCAACTTTCACCAACCGTCTAACTATGTGAAAAGAATGCCTGAAGCTGGCCAATGTGTTTATGAAAAAAATTAGGAAAACTTTTTGGCATCACTGTTGTGATTAATTTTTACAAAAAGAAACAAAACTAGAGAAAAAATGACAACACTCAAGACTGCTTCTGTCGGCCGATTTACTTATTTATTTAGAAAAATACCTTCAAATGTTGTTTGCCAGGTAATAACTAACTTTAAAAGATCTAGAAAAAGTACACAAAATCACTATCACATGTTTACTTTTTAAAAGGAAGACTTATGAATAAAAGTATAAGCCTTAGGGCATTTTCTAGATATTTAATCATTCTCTACAACAATTTATAATCACAGCTGCACCATATCATGGCGTCGTGTAATCCTTCAAATCTAAAATGGAAGAAAGTCATAGTATTTTTTTTAAAAAGTAAACCAAAGTTACCAAACAGACCATCCCAGCAATTGCTCTCTACTGCATACGAGTATATCCACAGCCAAATAAGACAAAATAGCAAATAGAAAGTTCGATAGAGAAGAATTAAAAGAGTACTCCGTGTGTACGTAGTGCTATATAGCAAGTATCGATAAAGACTAATAAAAAAATAGAAATGGAAAATGTGGTGCAAAGAGAAAGGAGGCGATTTATGCGGGTAGTGACTAGTGGGTAGACGAGGAAAAACCGGGAAAAATATGAGGGTCAATGCTAATGTTTTTGACATTTTGATTTTCAGAATTGCTATAGGTGCCCGAACCTGCCCCACTTTTTACCCCGTAAAAAAACTCTCCCCCACTTTCTTTCTCCCCTTCCACCCTCCCCCACTTTTCTTCTCCCCCCATCTCTCTCCTTCTTTTCACACAGACCCCCCACATCCCTTCCTCTTTCTTTCACTTTTCTCCAAATCTCGTTTTCTTCCCCTTTTCAAGATCTCTCACCTTCATTAATACTTCTCATTTTTTCCATCTTTCCCCCCTCCAAGCTTCTAATTGTATGCTGCATGTGCTTTTGTTTCACTTCAGATGGGAGAACTGAAGAAATTAGTTGAAGAAGGTAAAATAAAGTATGTCGGCCTGTCCGAAGCTCACCCAAATACAATATCGATTGATTCTGCTGATATTTATGGAATTCTGGTTGAAATAGTTTAATTATGCGGTACCAACCCGCGGGGCGTGCGGTACCGACCCGCGGGGCGTGCGGATAGCTCTTGAACTGTTTTCTAGCTATTACATTTCAAATGCACCAACTACAGTAATCGGACGAACGGGGAGAGCTCTGGTGATGTTGTATACATGGGGAGACAACAATGAAGGTGCAGACCAAGAAACTTTGAATGACTTGAGCAGATATTCTTTTCTTATTTTTTTTTCCCTTGACTTTTTTGTGTGCTTTCGAAATAAAAAGAGTTGTCTGTCTGACAGACAACTTGTAAATGCAGTGTCTATATTTGTTAGTAAGACTCGTGAAGTTGTCTGTCTGTAATTGATGGTTAATTATTTGACATTTGTTTTGAGTTGTCTGTATTTGTTTTGATTTGTTTATATTTGATTGTGATTTGTATGTAATTTGTGATGTTTATTTTTTGAGATGTAATTAGTATAACGAGACAGACATTAAATATATACATACAGACATTACTTTATTGTGAATTACCATATTGGCATATGTTTCATAAAAAAAGACAGACAATACGTATAACTAGACAGACAATGGAGATAACCAGACAGACATTATTTTTCATCACAAATTTCATACAACTCAAAATGAAATGACAAACAACTAAATATGAGTCACAGACAACTTCGTGACTCTTACAGACACCTCACAACAACATGAAAGACAATTAAATATCAATTACAGACATTATTTTTTAAATGACACACAACTTCACGACTCTTACAGGCACTGCAATTACAAGTTGTCTGTTAGACAGACAACCCTTTTTATTTCGAAAATACATCAAAAATCAAGAAAACAAAATCAAGAAAAGAAGATCCGCTGCTCAAGTTATTAATAGCTTCTTGGGTTGCCTTCATTGTTGTCTTCCCTTGAGGAAGCATCCGAAATGGCAACCGGCGTTGGCCAGCCGTCGGCATCCGGCGTAGGGCCGCCGTCGGCAACATCACCGATGGAAGAGGAGATAAGCAGGAGAAGATCGAAGGTTGGATGGGGAAAAGATGGTAAAAACGGGAAGTCTTAAAGAAGGAGAAAGATGTTGAAATGGAGAAGAAAGGGGGAGGGAGGGGTGCATGAAAAAGAGGACAGGGAGGGAGGAAGAGAGGTGGGGGTGCAGGAGAGAGGGAGGGAGGGGAGAGGAAAAGTGGGGGAGGGTGGAAGGGGAGAAGGAAAGTGAGGGAAGTTTTTATATGGGGTAAAAAATGGGGTAGGTTTGGATACATATAGCAAAATTCTTTGATTTTTGATTGTTTATGACGAAAAGCTAAATGAAAAGAACTATTTTATCAAACGCATCAATTAGCTGATCTATCTGATCAAAAGACTAATATAATAATCTAATCAGCCAAAAATTGGCAAGCTCTTAACCAAACACCCCTAAATCATTTTTCCAATAAAATAAGGGGTCCCTAAAATAAGTCACTTTAAGGTCCACTTTGATTTCGAAATCTGATTGGTTTAGCTTTCTTCCACACAAACCGCCTCTGTCCTTTGATAAATAGACCTAAATACCTAATAGCTCCCCAAAGAATTCATCATAATTAGGGGTGGTTCAGTACGTTATACTTTATATTTTTTCTTATAACTTTGCCGAACCAACACTTTCGGTATGCAAAATTTGCATACCTTTACCTTACCGAAGTTTTGGTATACGGCATTTCGGTATACCGAAGTTTCGGTTCGGTAACGGTACGGTATCAGTAAGTTACCGTGCATGTCTCCCAATACAAAAAATATCATAGACTAACGAAATATACTAAATCGTTATTACTAGCGACATATTAAATCTATTATTAAAATGTTACAAAAAAATGTTACGAAATACAATTAATAATCTATTGATGTCAATTCAATATTGAACAATAATTATTATTAGTATATTTAAGCAGTTCAACATGCCACATATTAAAAAGTAACACATTCTCCTAAAATAACTTGAACAATATAGATATAATTAAATCAATAGTGATCCCTAACAAAAATAAACCAAACTATTCAAAGAACATGGATATAAAATCATTTATTTTTAATATGATATTGTGTATTTAGTCATTTTTATAATTTTTTAAAAATTGAATAAGACAAGCAGACAAAGTTGTGTGTCTCGACTCGCAGAATCCCTATGTGCACACTTGTCACATAAGTGTATCTCTCTTCACTCGTCAGCAACTTAGCGGCCAAGCCATCATAACTTGCAAGCTCTAGGAACAAGATGAATTTGTTTCTTGACATTTTTACATTACTCATTAGTCATTAAGATTAGCGTAGTAGAAGCAAGCCTATAAGGTTATAGTGAGTTTGAGAAATTGGGCCTTTATTTTTGTATTTGTAACCAACTTAAATATTAATTTTGGGCTTCAAAATTGTAATGGATTTTTACAATATAGAATTAAAAGTAATTGTTGCGGTATACCGATTTTTCGTTATTTTTGTAATTTTGCCCACCCATAATCATAATACTTAGGGGTGGTTCGGTACGGTATACCTTATATTTTTTCTCATACCTTTGCCGTACCAAAACTTTCGGTATGCAAAATTTTCATACCTTTACCTTACCGAAGTTTCGGTATACCGCATTTCGGTATACCGAAGTTTCGGTTCGGTAACGATACGGTATCGGTAAATTACCATGCATGTCTCCCAATACAAAAAATTATCATAGGCTAACGAAATATACTAAATCGTTATTACTAGCGACATATTAAATCTATTATTAAAATGTTACGAAATACAATTAATAATCTATTGATGTCAATTCAATATTGAACAATAATTATTACTCCGTATTAGTATATTTAAGCACTTCAACATGCCCCACATATTAAAAAGTAACACATTCTACTAAAATAACCTGAACAATATAGATATAATTAAATCAATAGTGATCGCTAACAAAAATAAATAAAACTATTCAAACAACATGGATATAAAATCATTTATTCCTAATATGATATTGTGTATTTAGTCATTTTTATAATTTTTTAAAAATTGAATAAGACTTTCAGACAAAGTTGTGTGTCTCGACTCGCGGAAACCCTATGTAGATACATTTGTCACATAACTGTATCTCTCTTCACTCGTCAGCTACTTAGCGGCCCAACCATCACGATTTGAAAGCTCTTGGAACAAGATGAAATTTTCTCTTGACATTTATACATTACTCCCTATTAGTCATTAAGGTTAGCGTAGTAGAAGCCTATAAGGTTATAGTGGGTTTGAGAAATTGGGCCTTTATTTTTTTATTTTTGTATTTGTAACCAACTTAAGTATTATTTTTGGGCTTCAAAATTGTAATGAATTTTTACAATATATCTATTAATATATAAAAGCACACTTTCTTGATGAATAGTGTTCCCTCCCAAAAATGTCAACATCACATGAGTCAATTATTCATTTGCAAAAGAAAATACTCCCTCCGTAACATAAAGATCTTCCCATTTTGACTTTTCACGGTCTTCTAAGTTGAACTTTGACTGCAAATATCTACATATCTATATTTATAAAATTCATAATAAATTAACATTCAAATAATATGTTTTACAATGAGTTATATAAAATAATTTTTTAATCATAACATAATGTGAGTTTTGAATAAATAATGGTCAAAGTTCATAAAGTTTGACCCAAAAAAGTCAAACCGGGAAGATTCTAGCGTTACGGAGGTAGTATAAAATACATCATGTGGGACGACGAGTTGTGTAGAGGTAAAATATCTTTGAGCTATTCCTATTGGTTCTAAATGGAGGTGCGCACTATTGACTACGATACATGAATAGGAGGCCACAAATCCCTTTAATTCTATTGGTTGAGTTGGGTGGTGAGAATAGTGAAGCTGATTGTGTGTATCTCATTCCTAACAAGTTGCAATGCAACACTCAGCTATAAAAGGAACCCCAAGGCATCAAGCTTCTCACATTCATTCGCATCTCACATTGTTATAGCATAAGAAACCAAATATGGAGTATTTCTTTGAAGATGGTTGGTCAGCTCCAGGACTTCAAATTCACAACGACGATCAGCCTTTACCTCTTTGGTTGATCAGCTTCCAGAAATCTCTTTAACGGTGGCTCAAGTGAATTTTTACTCCGTCCTTGGTGTCCTGCTCCCTGCATGTCAAATGATTAAAATTAGTGACTTCTAATTTATGATGTTTCAAGTGTTTTGGCAGGCATTGATATTTTGATTGCAATTTTTTTATTTGAAATAGGATGGTTCTGACTTTATACGCCTATGGCATATTGGCATATAAGGATGCCGAATATGCAAATTATTTAGAAAATTTATGGGAATTGTATGTTACTGAGTTTCCAATTTTTTCATTTGCTTTGGTGTTTTTAAAATACGATAGTATTTAAATATATCCTCTACAAGAGAAAGCATTTGTTGTTTTGGATGACAGCAAAAACAGCAATATACTCACCTATCTATTACGGAGCAGAACATTTGTTGTTGTTTTGTTTGCAGAAACAGCAAAACAGCATAAAATTAAAAAGGAAATTTGTTGTTGTTTTTTAAAAATTGATCAGAACATAGTTTGTGAGATGATTTCACACACAAAATAATATATACTTTGTATATCTCATCAGAATAAAAATAAAATGTAGAAAAATGTTTAGTTTAATTTCTTAATAGAAGAAATGCATATGAATTTTGCCACAAAAATCAGAAACGCTCAAACCATTATATGATCATTAACACAGACATAAGAGATGATATAAAAGACAAAATTCGGTATGATTTTCTATATGTAGATTTCGAACTGCATAGTAAATGTGAACATTTTAAAAAATCGAATGATACACCTATTTTCACTCATTTATAAAATTGCTGCCAACTTTAACCTGACCCGTTTGAAATCAATAGATCTACTCTTATGAATCATAGTAGAGAACTAGAGCAGTTAAAACTTAAAATATAATTATTATGACTTTCAATAAGAATAACTAAATGACCAAAAAGTTGCGGTATATGTTAAATAATGTGGGGTTTGATGAATTTAAGGAATAGCATCACCTCATAGATGCATTTTTACATAATCTTCAACAAATGATGAGGACTTCGCCTCAAAGATGGATTATTTTATCTATTTGACAAACCCAATTTCAGAGTTGTTGCTGACTTTGGCATGACGAGAGGAAGTAGATGAAGATCAGTTCGTAGGGTAATCCAATCTATGTTGTTAGGAGGAGATCCAGGCGATGCAGATCGGTTCGGAAGCCATGCATGAAGGGTAGTGGCTCCAGGATGAAGAGTTCCAACATAAAAGATGCCCTATTTCATCATCAGCTTATATACCCGGCCTGTAAGGCGTACGGAGCTGGTGTAAATTTTGGGCCATGTCCTAAACAAGTAAAGAGAACCCATTCGAGAGAGTTCTAGGTCGTACATAATGATATTTAAAATAGGCCCATCACTTTTTTTTTTATCATACAGAGTACTCCGTATTAGACTTTGTTTTATTTACGTGTATAACTGTATATATATATTCATTTATAAATACGAAGTACGAGTATGTATTTACGAATAAACTTGAATTACATTTAAAATAGGTGTTTGTGAGAGAAACATGTGTATACACACCAATACGCAGACGAAAATACCTACGCTTTGAATTACATTAAAATATCAAAAACAGTTATATCCCGTATGACTTAGGATGTTTTTACTTGGACTGTAATTTGCTGGTCTGGTCTGGTCTGGTCTGGTCTGGTCTGGTAAGGTCTGGTTTCTTTGTATTTTTATAACTATCCAAGTTTGGTCTGGTCTGGTCTGGTCTGGTCTGGGGCAAATTACAGTCCAAGTAAAAACATCCTTATATACCTATGTTTAGGATATAAGGATATCATAGACGAAAATTAAAGAGAAAATTTATGGGAAGTTTATGCTACTGAGTTTTCAAGTTTTTCATTTGCTTTGGTTTTTTAAAAATATTTACATATCCTCTACAAGAGAAACTATTTGTTGTTGTGGATGAAAGCAAAAACAAGAATTCGTTTATATGGGGAGGAAAGGTATAAAGATCTTAATAAATCCACTCATTTCTTAACTACCATATGAAGTGAAATGATTAAGGTAAATGCCGGTTACATCAGCAATTCGTCTAAATAATGCAATTCGTAGAGATAAAGACATAACACATTTTCACAT